GAGTGGTCAGAAGAGTTGGCCGAGTCATGTACGAAGTTGAGGTAAGGAGCGATAGGTGGCAATCAGTTGAATCAGTTAGGCAAATGGCTAGCCCAAACCGCCCATCAACGGAAGCAAATATTCCCCTTGACATCCTGCTGGACACATTCAAATTACCGGCAGGCTAACCACAAGAAAAACCTCAACAACAAGCTGGAACATGTTCCAGACGGTGGCCTCCCAGACGGCGGCGAGCAAAAGTCAAGATACAGGTCGACCTCAGGAACGCACGATATTAAAAAGGGGAGGAGTGTTGAGGACGTTAGATCCACAAAACTCATATTTTGTAATTTCATCTTTGTGGAGCTTGTATGCAGATCTATGCTTAGACATTTCTTACCACCCACGCACATAGTCGATTGACAAACTTATCGATTAAATGTTTAAAACGTTCCATGGCAATATCGGTTACATACATTTAGTATAAATACGCTTGATGTGTGTGCTTGAAGAACCTGGTGTCTTCTGTTTGTCTGTAGAATACACTTTCTACATCTTACCAAGACTACTGGATCGAGTTAGCTGAGTCAAGGACAACGGACCATCATAGCCTATCGAGTCTCTGAATCCTTGATTTTTCGTTCCGTTCTGAGTAAGACGAATCAGTAGTAGCATTCAAGATAACGAACATAACAACAACACGTAGATTTTACTACAAATTCATCGGTTGATATTGTCGATATCGCCATTTACACTAAGTATTATATATTCTCAAAATAATAATTACAGAATTCACATAGGTTTACAGGCATGATCAGTTTGATATAAATAATAACATTAAATGTAGAAAGTAAACATGTGATATAAGATTGTTTTAAGTTTACTAGTTCAAAAATTGTTTAAGTAGTACATTTATGATATGTATTACAGCAATATAATGAGTCGTACAAGATCTTTTATTTCTTCTTAAGTGGACATTCTGTTGATTTATGAACAGTGCATTTAATGTCATTTCCTGTGTCATAACGAATTAATTACAATTATCTACAAATAGTGAAAGTAAAATGGATTAAACCATAAGTTGAATCAATAACTTTGCGTAATGAAAAGATGGAGTTGATCAGATTCTTGCATATATAAACATTGGTTATTAAAAAGGCTGAACGTTTTTTTGTGTATACAAAACCAGTTTGTTCTAAACTTGAATATGATGTGGTATTCTTTAATCCATCATGAAAAACTAAAGTAATGTGATAACATTTTATATCTTTCATATCATTTATTTTCTCCCTTGTTTGTTAATCTATATTTATTTGGCGCTTACTTTAATTGTCTTTTGTTAGTTTTCATGTATAAATCCCATGATAAGTATATGTATGACCAGATTTTTCCATACAAATAACCTAAATAAACCACATTTTTTCTAGGTTAACTACATCTTCTTACAACATTGTGACAAGTTATTGTAAAATTGGTAGATTATAAAAACTTGGTTACTTTCTAACAGTTCTTATTTCGAAATAACATACCGATTAATGAATATTACTAAAGTAATAACATTATAACTAACTTGAATACACCAAATAGCTCAGTAAAGTAACTAATTTAAAGAAGAAATTCTTATCAACAAATTCATTTTCATAATTGTACAATTGTATACATATGTCACATATTATACATCATAAAACTGTACATTTGTTAGAATAATAACAGAGTTGTAATTAAAAGTCAAGTATATAATTCTAAGTAAATAGTTACATGAGAGGGAATTTATCAAACGTAAGAAATATATAATTAATAGGATAAAGTAAATGTGAACGTTATAAATCAAAATGTTAAAGTAAAGAGAATTTAATGAAAATTGTAATTGGGAATGCTAAGTAATTACATAGATAATAATCATGCATCGTAAAGAAAAACTAGAAAACATTTATCCAAACAAAAACTGTAAACTATATAAATGAAAGAAATTTAACAACTATTTCTGTAAACGCAGTTACGGTTTTAAGATGTGGATGGATAAAGCTTCTAGAATGTTGGTAATTTTGTAAATTGACCTTTAAAGGATGGAATGGTAATTCGATTCGTATTCTTTATTGATTATAAGCTTAAGTGATTACCTACAACTATTGAACAACGTAAGATCATTTGGATATTGATGTTTTCATCATATATTGCAAATGCGTCATTGCGATGCTTCCTACGAAAGAATATAGTCTGTCAGCTTTTGCCTTTAAACATTTCATTACGAACGTAACGGTGAAAAAATCGAATAGCGATGAATACAGTCAAAATCCCATCAGAAGGATGTTTATCTTCGCCTCATAACAAATATAAATGACAGTTTACGCCACTCACTTGGCAAATGGTCGGTGGCAATTCTGTAACCAGTTCAAAGTCATATCAGTAGACGCCGAAATTTAGTTTCTCTTAGGTTCGTGGATTTTGTAACCGGCATTCGTGTATCCAGAAAAAGAATGATATCAGTAGATATTACTTCATTCTTCATACTCCTCTCACATCGTTTATTTGTTTTAATGTAAGGATGATGAAAATAACAAGAAAGTCATTTCAAACATTATCTAAAAGGACCGCTACTACATTTTCGATTCGCAATTCAGATTTAACGATGATTTCTGTGGGTATTTAGAAAGAGAGAAATAACTGTGATTCGCAGGTAAATGGAGTCAAATATGTAACTTAACTGATAGAAATAAGTACTTTAAGCGTCATGTTTTAGGAACAAGTCAAAGAATTGCCTTGAAATCTACCTTTTAAGCAGTACACAAAAGTGTTCATGGAAACATACACTGACTTCCTGAAGTTCGAATTATGAAAAAATTCAGTTTATTTATATAATCAAAAAAGGTGCTTGTGCAAATTATAAACGTAATTGAATAGTATTACTTTTAATTTCTAATATCAAAAGTGCTGTGTCTGCTACTACCATATTTTCCGTATCAATATTTTCAATATTATATTTTTAACCCTTTTTAAAATAAACTTTCTAACGTTCAAATGGAAGATTTTGGAAAAATTTAAGCCATGAACAATGAAAATGTTCTCTGTTGTAACTTAAATAACATTGCCTTGTATTCATTTATTAACGTATGTATTATTAAGATGACCTAACCCTTCTATCCCATACACACGAATAAATGCAAGTCAAGGTAAACAGTATAGCGTCAGCCTCTGCATCAGTAAGCCCCATCATACATAAGGGAAAAAGCAAGATCCTAAAATACAACACAGAGAACACCAATCCAATCACACTTGATGGAGAAGCTATGGAAGGGGAGGAAGCTCTCACATACCTGCACAGAATCATCGATGAACAAGGAGGATTGGGTTCAAACGTAAATGCGAGCATCGGCAAAGCAAGCGCCACATTCCTACAATTGAAGAACATATGGAACTCAAAACAACTTTCAACCAATATCAAAGTGAGAATCTTCAATACCAACGTCAAGGCAGTCCTACTGTATGGAGCTGAAACTTGGAGAACTACTACAATCATCAGCAAAATGGTACAAGTATTTATAAACAATTGTCTACGCAAGGTGCTCAATGTGCGTTAGCCGGATACTATCAACAACAGCCAGTTGTGGGAGATAACATACCAGCTTCCAGTTGAAAAGGAAATTAAGAAAAGACGTTGAAAATGGCTATGACATATATTACGGACATAACCAAATTGTATCACGAGTCAAGCACTATCTTTGAATCCTGAAGGGAAGCAGAAAAGAGGATGGTCAAAGAACGCACTGAGTAAAGAATCGGAATCACACATGAAAAGGAAGAAAAGCAACTTGAAAGATTGCCGTGGACGTGGTAGAATAGAGTGCAAGAACAAAGATTGGTGCAGAATAATATGAATTCATTTTATTTCGTTAGGTTCTCATCAGCTGCTTACAAACTAAAATATTTGAAAATCAGAGTTATTACAGATATTGACATACTTATACATAAGTGGGTGATCATAGATGCATATATGTATCATGATGTAGCGAAGATTCCGATATAGTTATTGAGGTCATAAAATTTTTTTCTTTTGAATAAATAAAGTTTGGGAGGGAGGGTTCCAGAACATTGAAATAGTCATTAGAACTCATGGAATTAAAAAAACAAACATTAGATTATTATGTAATCAAGTAATTGAAAGTAGATTAATGGTAATAAAGAAAGATATGAATTGAAATCAGTTAGTTTTGTCATTTTAAAACTCAGAAAGAGTTGGGACAGTGAATGACGTAATAAATAAATAAATAAGAAAGGGGAGGGTATTGTTACCAGGGCAAAGAAAGATTTATTACTGTTTCTTTTTGTATACATAGATCTGGTTTTAGGCGTTTGATTGCTATCGCTTCGGCAAATTTTAAATGGTTGAAGTCTGATTGTTTGTTAATCATCTTGAAGTCCTTCAAGGTGAAACAAAATTTTATGACCTCAATAACTATATCGGAATCTTCGCTATATCGTGATACATATATGCATCCTTAATCACCCTCTTAGGTATAAGTATGTCAATATCTGTAATAACTCTAATTTTCAAATATTTTAGTTTGTAAGCAGCTGATGAGAACCTAACGAAATAAAATGAATTCATATTATTCTACACCAATCTTTGTTCATTCTTTCTTTAAAATAATAAAGGGAACTGTGTGTAAAGAATAGAGAGTACTTGTTGACAGCCCATGCTCCTTCATGTGGGGTAAGAGGCGTAATTCAATTGAATTGAATTATTTGAACATTATGATACAATAATGATGGATTTACAACTGTAGGACATAATGATGAACTTATTGAAAATAACTATTTACTCAAACATCGTTTGGTTACTCTAATATTCTTATTTACTTTAATGAGTTAATGAATGTAATACATGAATAAATCCAAGATGAATAAAGTTTTAGTTCATTTACATAGTTCACAAGTGTTACAACAAAATTATGCTGCTAAAAAATTGAAGTACGAAACAAACAAACGCCCCCCCCCCTAAAAAAAACACACAACAACATCATCCTTCACAAAGAAATTTATTTCAAGAAATAATTAGTCAAAACGTTACATTAAAAAAAAGGAAATCCGAATAATTTGTACATAGTTTTAACTATTTTTTTAATCCATTATCAATTCAACTCATAGTTAATGTTTCTTTGGTAACAGCAAAACAGTTAACAAATCAATTTACTTTTCATATACTCAACATATCAGTCAATAATAATAATAATACAGCACTGGGATTATAAAAACAAAACAGAGGGTTATAAAGATTTAAAACAAGAGGTTTTACTATACATTTGAAATATTAATTATTTCTAAGTATCTTAATAAGTGAATAATGATTTATGGTAGTAACTAATTAGCGAAAGAAAAAGAAAATTGAACTTTTAAAGATGATAATCATGGTATCATATTCATAATAAATATTTATATAAACAAAGAAAGGAGGGTCATTATCAGAGGAATCGAAATTCACATTATTTTACCTTATGTATATATACATATATGTACTTTTTTTATTATTATAGTCAATAACAAGTAAAAGGAGAAAAGAAATTTATAATCTTCTAAAATCACCACGAAATATACGTAGAAATGTTTTTTTAAATTGTGCATTTGCTAATGCATAACAAAATGGATTAATTGGTGAATTCATATAACATAACCAATAAGTTACACTATAGAATATATCATTTACACAGGTATATTTTTTTTGAATATCATCGCATATACCTTTAATCATTATCACTATATGATATGGTGTCCAACATATAACAAAAGCACCCATTATAAATGTGATTGTTCTTAATGCTTTACGTGCACGATTTTCACGTCGACCACGTTCAATATTTTTATGCTTTGATTTTCTACGAATAAATGATTTTTTTACATGCTCCACAATATTTTCATTATGTATTTTTAATTTAATTGATTGTAAATAAAATAATAAACGTGCTCTGAAAGAAATATTTAACGATGTTTTTCGATGATCAAATGCTTGAGAATGACATAGACATTTTTCATCACATACAATTGGACCACCGAAATCTCCAAAACTGGAACTTGATTGTAATGTATCAGAATCTTGTTGTTGCTGTTGACGCATACATAGTATACATTCTTGCTGGCTCATACATTCTTCAATTCGTCTATTTGAACATTGGTAACTTCTAACTGAACATGGTGCACTGACTATTCCATCACAACACATAGGACGAGATTTCCAGATAGGAGATGAGTTATTTACATACAATGGTGTTTGCAAGTTAGTGTCTAACTCTGTAGAGTTACAACAGTCTATGTTGCTTCTGCAGAATTGTGATTTTGAATTTGCAGGATAAACTGTTGTGTGAGCATCATAATTGTGAGTGTTATTTGTAGTATTTTCAGTACCTTTTGATGACGTTGACTCAGAAAAATTTGAAGTATTCAGTGTTAATCGAGAGTGATTGTTAGTTTGCTTACATTTTAACAAACTTTGATTAGATGGTTGATTATTGACTTTTGTATGGTCTGTAACTCGGGGTGTTGTTTTTTGATTAGCCAAAGCTGCCATTCTTTGTTTGAATTGTTCCATAACACGATTCTGATAATCTGAGTCAATGGGTGCTGCATTTTTTCTTTCTTTTTTGTATTCTGTTTTATAGTTGACTGATCGATCCTCCTTTTCTGATACTGGGCTTGATTCTTTTTCATTTAAACAATCATAAGATAGTGGTATAGGTAGCTCTTGCACTTTCTTCGGCAAAACTGAATGACAGTCATTTACTTCAAGTCCACTATCGTCGTCTGTCAAAACTGGTGAGCTGATTACAAGACCAAGACTTTTACTTACCATAACGGATGTTGGACAAATATAACCTAGATCAGTTTCTGGAACTTCATTTAATCCATCAGGGTTAGCTTTAGATAAATCACAGATTTTTGGTTTCGTAGGAATAATACCAGTCACTCCTAGCACACTTGGCGCAATGTCACATCTAGCTTCAATCCTCGGCAATGCAACAAAAGCTTTCTCGGTTTGTGGTTCAGCTGATATTTTGGTGATCTGTCTGTTCTGCTTTTCCCCAAGTTTGATTGTTTTCGATAAAGGATTTTGTTTTACAGGGTCTGATTTACCTTCATCTGAATCGAAACCAGACGAATCTCCTAAACCGCCAATGCTACTATTATACGGATAGTTGTTATTATTTGTAATTTTTTGGTTCATACCGTGAGATGAAGCTCTTTGATTGTTCAACATCATATGCGTGGTTGTTTTATTATTTTGTGTACTGTTAGTAATAAGACCGGAAACACGATTTCGTTTTTCGTCACTACGTTTTTGTAAATCAGCAGCTACACGATATATACCAACATATAAAACTAACATTACACACAAAGTAACCCAAAAATAGCACACGGTAAAAACAGTGTTGAATATCGGATCTGTTGCAAATTCTGCATAGCATTCATCATCTGGTCTAGGATTACCATCAGTGTGAAAGTAAGGCCAACCCATTATTGTGGTAAAAAATACGGATGATGGTATAATCCACGTAACAGCAACTAGTATAAGAATCTTTCTTTCAGTTCTCCAGTTTCTGTATTTTGCAGGTATACGAACTGAACAAAATCTGTCAATAGTGATGATTAGTACTGTGTATTGGGAGGTTAAACAGGCTGTGTAATCTAAACTTAGCCACAAATCACATGAAAGTCTTCCCAAAGGCCACCGTCCAAGAAGAAGGTATAAAGTATAAAAATTCATTGAAAAAAATCCAATCAGTACATCTGTAACAGCTAATGAAGCTATAAAGTAATTTGATGCTGTTCGTAATGCTCTCTCCACAAAAAAAGAAATAAGAACTAGTATATTTCCAACAATTGTGATAAAACTGACTATGGCTGTTAGTAATGCTAGTATAACTGACGTTGTTCCTGAGTAGACTACAGTAGATGCAGTAATATTACCCTCATTAGGTTCATCGATCACAGAACTAGAGTTTGATATTTCGATATCAGAATTAATAGTATTTTTATCTTCACCAGGTGCCTGTTTCGATGTTCGTTTATTTGCATTATGTATAAAATCACTATGAGTTATTGAAGATTGCTTTAATGGATTAATTAAAGGTTCCATGATGTGAGGCGTTTTGTTTGATGCTAGATTATTTGTAATTGATTCTAGTTGTGCACGTTGATTCTCCGACCATTTGAGATAATCCGGCGATACATCAAAAAATGATTTGAATTGTGAAAATTTCACCCCATTGTTTTGAACTGTTATTCTGTTCTCACTTTTCACGGTATTAAACTCATAGTGAAGAAATATAATACAAGATAAAATATTTTGAAGCAAACAAAACAATAGATTCATCTTCACATACATTATACATAAAGGAGATGCGATTTTTCTGAACGTTTGAGCCTAATTTTCATCTTCATACATTACCTGAGGAAAATAAAAAAGAAACGATGGTTAAAATTTCTTAAAGAGGCATAAAAGAAATTCACGAGCAAAATATCTGTAAAAATGTCGACTTTAAAGATGATTTAAAATACTTGATTTAAGTGATTGTTTACAAAATACGAATGAAACCGAAAAAATGAAAATCAAGGTTTGTAGTGTCTTAGCTTCGTCAGTCAATCACCTTGATAACCGTTATTATATAAATCCCAAAAGGGTTTGAAATCAGAAAGTAATAAAAAGTGGCAACCGCAATTTATCAGAGGAGAGCATGAATCGCAAAGTTACAAGCACATCAAGCGAATTTGAAGAAGAGAGGTGAATATATACATGCGAACAAATATAGAAGCGAATTTATGGTCAAATCGAATAAGGGCATAGTAAGGCAAATCAGAGGCTAATAATAGGACTTGAGTACATATATACATGGGGAAGAGAATGAATCATCGAGCGATATTTAAGCTAGCAGCATTTACGCTTGAGAGAGATGTGCGTAGGGTATCATAGATAGCGATCATACTAGGACAAAAAATAGACGAATTGTTACTGTCCAAATAACATTGTCCGTTATGTAAGTAAATAAAAGAGCTTAAAAAATATTAACCATAATCGGAAATGACTGTGGAAGAGTTGCTATAGATTGTATAATACTGCTTATAGGTAGATGCAATCGATTTCTCAAGTAAAAATAGCTATCTCTAATTAATTCTGGCAATAGTCTTGGTCTTCATCTATATACATCGATATTTTCTCAAACGCCTTTTTAATTCGAAAATATCGATGAAATTAAGTGACCCTTTCGTTAAACCTTTATATGCCCAAAATCATTACTGGTACCGATCATGAAAATAGAAACAAAGCTACAGTGAAAATACGGATTTCAATATATTACAAGTCAACATTATTTATTTAAAAAGACTTCGATTCACTAACAAGTAGCATATGTTCCACTAAATACTCCACGCTGACTAGTCAAACCAGTAGAACATTTAAATACAGAATATTATATCGATTACTTTTTTCGTTCTCTTAGCTGATAAATTAAAGCCCTAGTTTATTGCAGAATACTTTGTTTAAGAAATGTGTCGTTTTAAATTGTAGCAAACTTAAATCAATATACGGAAAATTGAAAAAAAATCACTGAAAATATGCTCTAGCAGATACCAAAGTACTTCAAAATACTTATGATTAGTATAAATGTGCTATATTGTTTTGCAGTTTACGATTAAAAGTTCAATTCACAAATAACATACTGGTAAGCTTACATAGCATCTAGTTTGTGTTCTTTCATAGTGAGACAATTCATGGAATATTTGAGTTTGTGGAGAGTCAGTATTGATTTCTTATTCAAATGACTGATATGACAATGCAGAAGACTATTTATAAATTAGTGCTTACTATGTATATTAGCTGCTAAGATATTTGATCACAATGATGAAATCTCATATGTTTTCTGGAAAGATCTAAGTTTTTGGTTAATGGAGTGAAGTGATATATTAGTTCTCAAATTCTAAACCATTTATTGGCACGATATTTTATTAAGGCTCTGCGACCAGTAAATATCTAGAATATACTTGAGAACCGACAAAGTAGTTCGTCAGTTCTCCAGTTATATATTACGTTAAATTGCGATCTTATTTTTCCAGTAAACGGATACTAAGTATTTGTAAAAATATCGTACTGTTCAGCAATGATGAATAACTGCCGTAACTAATCTATCTCTCTTTAAAAAAACTCCCGTTTGGAAAAATAATATTTATTGAACAGTATCTACAATGCTATTATAAACTAATTATTCAAGAGTAGTGAGAAATTCAACGAAAAGTTATTAATTAATCTAAATGGATACTGCCGAACATTGACACTTAAATGAGACAAAACGTTTTGTTGACAAGCAAATGAATATAAATGTTAACTGCGACAACGAAACAATGGAATTTTTTAAATAATTTTTTTGATTTTTCATGTGCAATGTCTTTGACGTGTTCTGCCTTACACAAATTAGCAACGAAAAAGAACTTTTAAATGTTGTCTAAACGTATCAAAAGTAAACGTTTTCCATTTCTTATCATGAAAGTCTAGAAGCCAGAACTAGCAAACAAGATTGTAATACACTTTGAACAATAGCTATGAAATTTATGATCAAGTTGAATCAGTTACACTCCTAAGTATATCATTAGGAATACATAAACACATACAAATTAAATTAATCCATACTGCATAAGTTAGTAGCTGTCTGGACTTAGTAGCTCAATGAATAACACAATTTGAGTTTGGAGCGTAAAGTGCCGAATTGGAATCCTGGTGTAAACATGAACATGGATGCAATTACATCCACCAAATGAGCCCTAAGTAAGATGAGATGACTGTTCTGGTTCTCCCATTGATAAATGTATAGCTTCACTAAATAACTTGTAATTATATGGGAATATAACTCAGTAGATACATATGTAAAAGGAAACTGACAAAATTTGGTCTTTAATATATCAACGAGAAAATCTAAATGATTATGTCATTTCTATTTTTATAACTTCATATGATACTGAGTAAAGTTTGATTTATATTTAATATGGTTACTGACATTTTCATCCACTGATAATGAATATTTTTTTACTTATAATTACTTCATAAATTAACTGTCACACTTCCATATATTTCTCATTCATGCTCTAAGTTAACCATGCATAAATTTAGGATATTACTCTTGCTTGTAAATGGTCTTAAAAAAATAAAATAAAACTGTTTATCATATAGACTCATGAGGAAAATATTTCATTCATAACAAATTTTGACTTAGGGAACGTCAAATTCAGGAAACAGTTAGCATTGATGTCATTTTATCTTAATTTTGCTGTAATGTACAATAATAATGAATGATTATCAGTAAAACAACTTCTATCAAATTACAGAACTTTTTCAAGGATTATATATAGTAGCTAAGTGGATAGCGTGATGGCGTTTCAAGCGAACAGCACTGGGTTGGAGTTTCAGATTGAACATTAACTCGGATGAAGGTACATCTAGCTGACGAGTCCCAAATAGGACGAAACGCACATCGTGGATTCCACTACTAGCCACTATCCATCTATACTTAACACTATTACTTGTCATGATATCATGGATTTAAGAAAATGCTATAACTAATACATACAGTATATGAACACTTTGTAAGATATCATAAGTAGATATCGAAGCGCTGCATCTTAAGATTAACTCAACCTATCGTTTGCATATTGTTTATTGACTTTTTTGTTGAAACAATGTTGCTTTTTTTCCTTTGAATTTAGAGTTTGTCAATGACAAATTACAATTAAACTGTTGTTTATTAAACGTATATATTATTATAATGTTTTATCTTAATTATGATAAGGTGATCCATTTATGTCAGTTTAATTGGATGATATGAGAAAAACGATGATAGCTCCACGACCAAACCATCCAGCTCACAGAACAAAACTATTCTAAACGTTAGATTTTTTAAACTCCTTACATAAAAAAAGTACTGTCAACAAATACTTGTAGCAATGGTTACTTTGTGTTAGAAGTAAATAAACAATTTCCACTTTGTGAACGAGACGAAAATTTAGTTACCAGTGTATAATTACTGTATATTGACTTGGTCTGATAAATCTAAATGGCTGTCAGATATCTTTTCAACCTAAGATAAACATATGATGAATCCGGTAAATCAACAATTTTTAAAAACCTCGTACTATACATCATTACGTTTATCTGAATTTGACAAAATAGATTGTTTCCGACTTAAATTCATGCCTTTTGTCTTAAAAAGATAATATCTGAAACTATTACTATAAACACTATAATGTTAGGTTTCAAAAATCAATCCATCACCATTCAACAATTACCTTTGACGTGACTCGTGTACTCGTTTGCACAATGAATTAGGGTAAAAAGGATCACGGAAATCATGAAACTTTTGAACTGAATTTGTATTATAGATTTTATTCTTGAGCATAGTTTATCCATAACATTTTTAGTCATCGTAGTTCTAAATGACAATTTTCTAAGAAGGTAAATTTGGCTATTATAAGTTTTAGAGAGGAAATTTAAACATCATATTTCATTAATTTATTTTTGATGGCTTACTATTAAATGATTGTTTGATCTATCAATAAAGATTGTTACTAAGATGTGGTTATCAAAAAGAAATGAAATTCACGTGACTATTAATTAAACTTAAGTAATTAATCAAATTATCTCATGAATGAAAATAGGCTCTGCAAGTATATATTTGTCGATTAATATTGCCTGTATTTGTTTTGCATTTTAAATAAATAAGACCTCTTTAGATTATGAGGTTGATCGATCTAATCTTGAAAATTGAGGGATCAGAAAGAAACACTCATCAAGATTTATATCTTACATCAGAAACTTAGTTTAGTTTAGATCACTAAAATACCTGTTGAAAAATTAATGGAAGAGTATAGAATGTTAATTTGCAATATTATACAAAGATATTGCTATTAGAATCATAGATTATTAATTAACCTTTATATATGATAGGTTTAAGGTAATAAAAACCTAATATTGGAGTTTCAGTCGATAAGCCCATTGTGAAATAAACCATAAATACAATTGTTTTCAGGATTAAGCAGACTTTCAAATAAAATTAAAATTGCTAAGAGCCCAGTATTCATCTTTGAGATAACCAAGTGAAATTTATTCTTTAGGTGCTACATTGTTATATATGTTGTACAATATTCTCTGAATGAAACTAATACTACTATCCAGGTATTATATGTTGTAACAAACTTTATGTATAATTATACCATTAAACTAAACATAAGTAGCAAATACAAATAGACATCATGATGAAAACAAAACACCCTTTTAATTGAAATATTAATAGAATCTTTAAAAATTATAGTTATTTATACTTGTGAAATTTCTAAAAATCTCCACAAAACACATTCTGGTAATAATAAACACCTGCTCACTAGTGACTGACTTCAGGAAACACTCCT